AGCTGACCTTGGCGATCAGGCGGTGAGCGGTCAAATAAGCACCCACATCCCCAGCGCCATAGACAACATTGAAGACCCCAGGGGGAAGTCCAGCTTCCCGGTAGATCTCAGCCAGCATCTGCGCATGAAGGGGCGTATATTCACTAGGCTTGTACACCATGGTATTTCCAGCCGCAAGACACGGTGCTGATTTCCAGAGAGCACTGTGTCACATTTGTCAATTGCTAAGCTCGGTAGAGAAAAGAGAGACAACCAGACGTGATAGGTTTTGCGCGCTCGTCTGATCAAGAACAATGAAAGTACTTACATCTGGAGAGGATAATTCCATGCGCCAATGCCAACGCAGACTCCCAGCGGCGCCTTCTTGGTGAAGACCCAGGCATCTTCTCTCAACTGTGTCGTCTCGCCATTGAGACCGCCTCCTCCTACCAGGTTGGCATAGTATTCCAATACATCTGCACCAGTGACGATGTCGACTGTGCTTGTCTCCGAATAGGCCTTGCCAGAATCTAGAGTTTCGAGACGCGCGAGTTCGTCATTTCTCTCCCGCAGCAACGCCGCGGCCTTTTGTAGGATGCGCGCACGAGCGATATGAGGGGTTTGCGACCATGAGGGGAACGCGCGATCAGCAGCTGCAATGGCCGCATCTGCATCAGAATTTGAAGCAACATGGATTTCAGCTAGTGGCGTATTGTCGGAAGGGTTGACTGTGCGAAAAGTCCGACCAGACGAAGCCGACTGGATTTTTCCGTCGTAATATGGGTGACGAGGAGGGAAAGGGAGATCCGTCATTTTCTTTTTGGTTGAGGGCCGCTGGAAATTTGTACCGGGCTATCACGACGTAAAAATTGAAATAGGATCCAAGGATAGATACTTGGCTCCGTGTGTAGCGGGCAGGTTGCTCAGAGTATTAGAGAAGTATTGATCGTACTCCGCAGCTAGGTGCGGATAGTTAGCCTCATTCTTGACCAGCGATGTATTCATATCTGAATCAGACCGCCTCATAACTCCGCCCCCTCTTCATTTGACGAGGACAGGCTCCGCTGTGGCTACGACCACTAAACCACCTCCACAACTGACCCATTGGTCAACAGAAGGCGTGTGAGATCGTGGTTGATTTTTCCTTCCGAGCATCCGAAAAGGTCCTGTTGTCTCAGTGCTCCGTAATAGTAGCAGAATCAACAGCCGACACTATCTTATAGGCAGTCAATTACTCCAATCTATCCTCTAAGAGGCACTGCGCTGAAGTACTCCGTATTTGAGGAGGGCAATCCACAATCATTCCCGGGTGCTGGGGCAGTACAGTTTTACTCCGTACATACTGCTCAATAATGAAACCAAGTTTTGATGGTCTAGGACTAGCCACGCGATGGTCAAACAGCGTCAAAAGCTAAACAGAGGCTGGAATGGATGGGGAAATTAAGGAATGGCCTCCAATAGGAAACACGGGACAAGACCGATATTCAAATAGCGTCGTCTTAATGAAGTGAACACTCTTGCATTTTACTACTCCATTTGGACATAATTAGCAGAGTTCTCCAGTAAATAACGATCTTTTAGGGAAAAAGAACTCATGCACAATAGTGCTGTCATTATCATATACCAAGCGGGTAATAAGATCCAGGATCTAACACAGTGACGAGAGTCCGTAGGATGTTCAAACCGTTAATGAATTAGTGTGACTGTCTTAGTGTGAGTTCGTGGATCGTGGCGTCGTCTTAGTCTCAAAGTCCTCGTGAGTCGTGTGGGCCGTGGAGTCGTTCGATGACGTCGAGCGCCATCTTGTGTCTGACCAAAAATCACAACCCGCGGGTACAGTCGTACTTAAAATATGAAAAGGAACGCGGCCGGTGATGAGGTGCCTACTCCAGTACGGAGGGAGCTCTTCTAAGTACCTGCATAGTCTTCACTCAGCATGCAGATCGATGTAGTAAGGTACTTACATTACCTCTAGGTGCGGTTGATCAACCATCGAAGCGGAAAACGACAATGATAGTCCAATCCGAACCAGTATCAGGCCATATTAAACCGTGTTTCCATTATCTAATATGGCCTGCCTCCTTCTGGGGATAAGAAGTATTTTGTCTTCGATTGGCTGATCCTCATTTCGGCACCTATCTTGTGGTGGGGAATAGTTAGGGAAGAGGGAAACGAGGAAAAGGATTGGCGGCGAACGGATGGATAGCCGCCTGGACACCTGAGGCCCGTGTCTCTAACTTAATTCCGTCCTTTCAATTTAAAATCTATCAGAATTCCGTTATGATTCTACGCTTTTTTTCTTTTATCTTTTTGAACAGTCTCATTGCCTCTTCCGCCCTTTTCACCTAGTCTCGTCTCTCTTGCCAGTCTCCAGAGGTGCTGGAGTCCTCTTATTTCCTCACCAAATCACCCCGGGTTTGTTCTCCGCACCAGTAGAAGAGCCGTTGAATCATTCCATCATTATCATTCGACATGGCCACCACAAACGATTTCCCTGCATCCGACGTCAATAGCTATGACTATGTTATTGTCGGCGGTGGCACGGCCGGCTGTGTCATTGCTAGTCGGCTGGCTCAGTACTTGCCCAATAAGCGAATTCTAATCATTGAGGGTGGCCCCAGTGACTTCATGGATGATAGAGTCCTTAACCTGCGGGAATGGCTCAACCTCCTGGGAGGCGAGCTGGATTATGACTATCCTACCACAGAGCAGCCAATGGGTGTGTATCCTTCGCACATTCCGTGTTCTATCCTCACATCCCTTGCGGACTAGTTAGCAATGTCGTCAGCCACTGACCGTCTTTCCTGCATTTTCAGGCAACAGCCATATCCGTCACTCTCGTGCCAAGGTCTTGGGTGGTTGTTCCAGCCACAACACTCTCATTTCCTTCCGCCCCTTCGAGTATGACTGCAGAAGATGGGAGGAGCAGGGTTGCAAGGGCTGGTCCTTTGAGACTTTTACTCGCGTCCTCGACAACCTGCGGAACACTGTCCAGCCCGTTCACAGCCGTCACAGAAACCAGCTGTGCAAGGACTGGGTGCAGGCTTGCTCGACTGCCATGAACATTCCCATCATCCACGATTTCAACAAGGAAATCCGCTCCAAGGGTGAACTGACGGAGGGTGTTGGTTTCTTCTCCGTCTCGTACAATCCAGATGATGGCCGTCGCAGCAGTGCTAGTGTGGCATACATCCACCCTATTCTGCGCGGTGAGGAGAAGCGCCCCAACTTGACAATCCTTACCAATGCGTGGGTGTCTCGCGTGAATGTCGAAGGAGACACTGTCACCGGTGTTGACGTGACTCTGCAATCCGGTGTCAAACACACTTTGCGAGCCAAGAAGGAAACTATTCTTTGTGCAGGTGCTGTCGATACCCCGCGATTGATGCTCCTTTCCGGTCTGGGACCGCGTGAGCAGCTGAGTTCTCTTGGGATTCCGGTCGTCAAGGATTTGCCTGGTGTGGGTGAAAACCTCCTCGATCACCCAGAGAGTATTATTATTTGGGAGCTCAACCGTCCTGTCCCCCCCAATCAGACTACAATGGATTCGGATGCGGGCATCTTCCTGCGGCGCGAAGCTCCCAATGCGGCTGGCTCTGATGGCCGTGCAGCAGATATCATGATGCATTGCTACCAGATTCCCTTCTGTCTCAACACGTCCCGTCTGGGCTATGAAACCCCTGTTGATGCCTTTTGCATGACACCCAACATTCCTCGCCCCCGCTCTCGTGGTCGTCTCTACCTGACCTCGGCAGACCCCTCCGTGAAGCCAGCTTTGGATTTCCGCTACTTCACTGACCCCGAGGGCTACGACGCCGCGACAATCGTGGCTGGTCTTAAGGCCGCGCGTCAGATTGCCCAGCAGGCTCCGTTCAAGGATTGGATTAAGCGTGAGGTGGCGCCCGGACCTCAGGTCCAGACTGATGAGGAGTTGTCCGAGTACGGTCGCCGTGTGGCTCACACAGTTTACCACCCTGCTGGTACCACAAAGATGGGAGATATTTCCCGCGATCCAATGGCTGTCGTTGACCACCAGCTCAAAATCCGTGGCCTGAAGAATGCCCGTATTGCGGACGCTGGAGTCTTCCCTGAGATGACTACCATCAACCCGATGCTGACTGTGCTGGCTATCGGAGAACGCGCCGCCGAGCTGATCGCCGAAGAGGCAGGCTGGAGTCGGGAACAGCCCAGGCTGTAGAAGGCCTTGTTTTCCAAGCTAGTGGGTTTGCTTGTGCATTTCTGGTATATGGGATGCGCGGGGCCATGCAGAATGGTTCATAGTTGGTAAAGCACTCTCATTTTTGTGGTTGAGATGCCTGACTTCGCCCATCAATAATATTCCATAAGGCAGCTGACTTCATGCGGGATCATGAGTGGTGCAAAGTTTGGGTGGTGTGCTGGTGTAGGAATCACTGGGTTAAGAAAGGCACGCAAAAAAAAAGGAAAGAAAAAAGAAAAAAGTGTTCAAATATGATGCTCTTTAGCATGGTGTTGGCCTGGATTGCATGATGGCTTTTTGTGTACAGATGCTGGCTGCCGTCTTTAGATATTGTCTCCAGACAGTAACTCTCACAGGTAGGAAAGATATGCTGTACATACCAATAGGTGACGAAAGAGAAATAGACAAGAAATATCACAAAATACGACCACTAATACATTTAAGAGGAGCCGACAAACAAGTCTAATGATGTATTGTCTTTAAATCTAGTTTATAGTCTCAGAATATCTTTATCCTCATATCTATAGTTGTTGTACTTGCTGCACGGGGCTAAAGAGGACAGAGGGCCCTTGTGGCGCAAGATAATTCATCGGAATCTCCGGATCGGATACAGGGCACAACGCCAGAAAACAGAAAGATGAAAGACTGGGGAGCAGTAAAATCCACAGCAGAGCCAAAGTATGCTAGTCGAGGTCGGAAGGAGGTGTGCACGATATTCGGAGCAATAGCCAGACGTTAAGTTTCAAAAAAGAATCATAAAAAAAAATAGAAAGAAAGGAACGAATATGCTAGTGTGTCTGCTTCATACTGTAGTCATAGACGTTACTCCCTTATCAGTGTCATGGATCTTGACTCCCCGTTTCCACACCTGGCAGACAGTTAGTGTGGGCGAGTAGGGGTCATCCTCCTCGCTCAGCACGACGAGGTCCGCATCTGCACCGCTGTCTAGGGAACCCTTGACGCCTTGTAACCCCAGTAAGCGCGCCGGAGTCGCCGTGGCAGCGTTAATGGCATCGGCTATAGAGGCGCCAGACCAACGCCGGAAGTTGTTGATGCACTCGATCAGGGTGGCAGAACTACCTGCGATCTTGTCGGATCCCTCCAGAGTCAACCGGGCTCCCGTCTTAACGATGCGCTCGCCGTTCGTCCAGTCATAGACACCGTCGGGAAGGCCGCAGAGCTTCATTGCATCGGTCACGAGGACTAACCCGTCCGGATGGGCGTTGTATGCGATCTTGATCGAGGTCGGGTGGAGATGGATACCGTCGGCGATGATGCCGTAGAAGGGCCTGCAGTGTTCGCTCTGGCCCAGCAGTCCGAAAATGCCGGGGTTCCGGTGGTAGAAGGGACGCATCGCATTGAACATATGCGTGACCATTGTAGCTCCCGCTGTGGTCGCTGAGAGCGCTTGTTCGTATGTCGCATCCGAGTGACCGACCGAGCAGACGATTCCGGCGGAGGTCAATGAGGGGATGGTCGATATCATGTTTCCCACCTCAGGGGCGACTGTAATCATCTTGACTGACTTGGAGCTTCCGGTGAGATTATCCTTCCCATAACACTCCTCTAGATCTTCGAAATTCCGGGCAGCACGAAGCACTTCGGTCTTGTGAATGCCATTGCGGTTAGGGTTAATGAAAGGTCCTTCTATATGGGCTCCTAACGATTCCGCGCCGTCCTCAGGACGATGGTGGCTGCCCGAAGGGCCCAAAGAGGGCAATACCTGCAAGAGTGTTTTGTCAGATCTGCTGATTTTCGGGGGCGCGGGATCGTCATACTTTCCAGTAAACCTCTGGGGTTGAGCTGACAACAGTCGGCAAATATGAAGTCACACCGGTCCTGGCAAGACCCTTGTTCACCAGGCGCAAACCCTCATCATATTCTTCCTTGGACGCTTGAGGTACAGAGAAGTCAAAACCCTGAGCGCCGTTCAGCTGGACATCGATCAATCCTGGAGCGAGAATACGCCCGCCGAGGTCGATGACCTCATCTGGCGAAAGATGTAATCCGTAGAAAGCCTCCTGATCTTTGAGAATCTTGCCTGACAGCGAATCGATCCAGACATCCTGTTCAACAAGCTCAGAACCCTTGACGATGCGACAGTTGGTGAATTTGGTGATGCGCGGAGTAGACGTCGTTTTGCCTGGCATGATGATGGCTCTGATTCTTTTCGTTTCCTACACCTATGATGTACACCAGGAGGTATTCCGCTTATACTATAAGTAGGCCAAGCCTTGAGGATGAAGTCAACCGCGGGAAAGAGGAGAGTGAGTATATGGATATATTTTTTGATACCTGCGGATCGAGATAAAAATCAGGATGAAACCCACATGGATGTATATGGAAAGAGTTTGGAGGCGACAAGCGAAACGAGGGACAATAATGATAGTGTCTGGCTACATGATGGTGACATCAAAGGGCCATACATTGTTGCTCCACGACGGAGGGGCAGAAGGATCAAAGAAAACCGTTATGGGATGTGACGTCGAAAAAGGTAGTGGATGGAAATACTCGTACGACCGCTACTAACTGCTGCTACTGAAAGCCAATTCAAACTCCACGTGGATGCGACATACATGGTCATTTGAGGCATGGCTATCCTTTAGCTAATAAAGAGAACTTATCGGGCAAACTTGAACGTTAACAAGTTGATGCGGGAGTGCTGATCCATGGACGATAACAGGCTTGCCTCTTCTGTCTGAGCTGATGATCATCATGGGATTGATATCACGCAGGTTATGTAAGCCAGAAGGATGATACTGTTGAAACTGATTTCAATTTGTTACATACAGATTTGGTACTAATACAATAATAAAACATACGCATTACGAGCAATGACTGCCCGTCGTAATACCATACCATACCGCGGCATGATGGGACCTTAGGTACCAACCTTAGTTTCCAGACCTTGAGAGAGATACAGTGGGATGCAAAAAGTATTCAACCACCCCTACCTTACCGCCTACTATTATCTAAACCTAATTAGGAAGGAGTTTGATTCCATTCTAATATTTCATATACCAACCATCTACCTCAATAACTGCCTTCACCCGGTTAGGCATGGTCCTTGATAGCTTTTAAAGAATAGTAGTATCTATAGCTTGCCATGCCTCCTTAGCTGCATGGATAAGTAATTAACACATTTCCTCAGTATTAGGTGCATCTTCCAGTTCTGGATAAAGCATATAGATCTTCTCCTTCATAAGCAACCAGAGGTTCTTAATTAGATTAAGATCAGGTGAGTATAGAGGCCAAACCATAACCTTAATCTATAGGGACTCAAGCACCTCTCTTACAATCCTTACAGTATGGACTCTGGCATTATCCTGCATAAAGATATCACCAGGCTCAGTAAGCTCAGGAAGCCATACTTAATAGAGAGCTCTTATAATCCAGCCTAATACCCCCCCTCATGGAGCTTCTGGATCACCATCTAGAGGGACTAAGCCTGTATATATCTCTTCACCAAAGCCTGCCCAAAACATCTATTTAACACCTTTCCCTGTCTGTTAAGTGTAGACATCATGCTCACAGAGTTAATCTCTTGGTTATTAGAATATCCATATTAGTCAGATACCAACACCTCTCTTAATAGAGCACTCATCACTCCATTTAACACGTGCCCAATCTTCTGGTGTAAAGTGTTGATATTAATTTACCTAGTTAAGATGAGCTAAAGCTTGCTCTTTAGTAAGAGCTAGTTAATGAAGCTATCTCTATTTGCGAAGACCAAGTTCTTGAAGAAGATATTATAATGACCTCTTTTTCACAGTACCATCTACCTCAGTAAGAAGATCTTGCATCTTTAGGTGAGGAGAAGACTAACTTAGATCATAGAGATAATCCCTCTGCTCCTTAGTAATCTGGTGAGGACGTCCAGAATGTGGTTTTGATTAATTATCAACGCATTTTCATTTATTTAAAATAGTTGATTTGATAGTAGAAAGAGGCACCTCAGGATGCTTAGCTTTAATCTTAGAATAGCTCCATCCAATACTCTTTAGCTCACAGATTTGTGAGCGTAATTGAGGGGTTAATTCTTTGCCTTTACGGCCCATTTTGGTTGAGATCTAGGTAATGGATATTGATATGGATATGGATATCTACGCGTTTGGTGGTATTCTGCTGGCAGAATAGTAGGCGGTAAGGTAGGGGTGGTCGAATACTTTTTGCACCCCACTGATAGTTTGGAGCAAAGTAGTACGCGATAAGATAATTATCTGACTGCGTAACCTTTTCATACTTTMATTCTGGGTATAGCTTCTATTACATGGGGGCATCTATTGATCCAAAGTCATCTCATCTTCCTCAGTAGAGCTGGTATAATTTCGCCAACTGCTCGGTCGGTAAGGTAGCAGGAGAATTGATTACCTGACCGATACTACTTTGACCCGAGGAGGACCCAAACCCGTGACCGGTGCCCCGGTACTACCTCAGAAATCGGACTTGACCCAACAAAAGACTCTCACTGGCCTCCCGCATCCGTGCAGTTGCACAGATGCAAGCCGCCGATGTTACCGTCACCTTGGTTTTCGTTTGGTTCTTCTGGGTCTGGTCTTGAGATATCTAAAATCCAACCATTAGGAGGGAACTTCCAGAGCTTCACAAGTTCCACTGCTTGTTCGAGAGGCAGTTATCCCCACAAGACAGATACGCAGATAGATACCTATGCTCTTACTGGGTCGGCCTTGTCAGCTTGTCCGCTCGTCAGCTTATCTTCGTTTCTGAGACCAATGTACTGCGGTTTGCTTCAATCTCGCTCGCATGTTATTAAGAGGAGCATACCGTTTAAAACTATTTGGTGACAGCGATCAAAATTAAGACTAATTCAAGAAAGCCAACATGCTACCTAGTATTAATTAATATCAAGTAGGACCAGTATTGTTTGTTAAGCATCGGTCTAAGCGAGACTAATCGAATACAACTGCAAGAGAGCCATGTTTGCGCTAAGCACGCGACTCCATCTCACTTGTCACTGTTTCAATTGCCGTCTGTCGCGTGGCTGTCACCTCGACTGTGCCTTTTGGAACTTTGTCTATTGTCTGTTGCCGTTTATGGCATATGATTGATCATAAGATACTGATTGAGGAGTTTCCAGTTCCCTACACTAATCTCATTTACTGAGAGTACGACCCAAGAAATCCCTTATCCATAATCCATCATCGTCTTCGTCAACTTCTTATTGTTTTCATTACTAACTTGTGCGTGTGATTTGTGTGGTTCTCTCCGCAAATTGCCTCCCCATAATCCTGGAGTTGCTGTGGAGTCGTTGCACTCCCAAGATCCAAGATCCAAGGGTTCTCCGGTTCTCCCCCAAATCTGCACGCATATCTACTCGTCCTTGTAGGTATCACTAGCATATCAACTACTACCGAGTATAGGTCAATCGTCATTTCTCGTGTCAAAGAAAGGAAAAGACATCAGACACAATCCTTGGTATCATTTGATTGACTGTGGCCATGATTGATTGGGAGCTCCGAACCACTCAGTCTCAACGCAACCCTTGCACTCTTTCCCAAAGATAAGGTACGCCTCGTTCTCTCTCTCTTTTGTTGTATCCACTACATGAGTGTTACTATACTATCTGTCTACCATTGTCTGCCTCTCTTCACCTTGTCCCGCGGTGTGACTTCGTTTATCGAAAACTTATCTATCTGATAATCCATCCTCTATCTGACTTTCATCTAGACTGTTTGGTGTTACCTCTAGTGCCCTTCGAAACTTTTTTTTTTTTTTTTTTTTTTTTACTTTTGTTTTCCTTATCCACTCTTCTCTTTAGCTTCTCCTTCCTGTGGTCCTTTTCCTTATTTAAAAATAACCCTCCAGACACAGTTCCAGAGTATTATTTTATTTTCTCCTTTTTGAATCAATCAGATTCATTGAACTTGAATGGTTTGGTGGTTGGGAATCCAGCTCAGCTCTCCTCGCTTCCTCGTCGCATTTGACTATTTGTTTGGCCGCGCTCCCTCTCGTATTATCCTTCTCTCTCATCATCATTCTTCTTTCTCCTTTTCTCTTTACCCCGGATTCTTCTGACACAAACAAACATTGGCTTTTCCCTCTTGGGAGTAAACCAAGTCGTACATAATTATTGTGTTGACCCTCGCACCTTATTATATATAGGTCCCTGTCCCTGTTGCACACATATCCAACCCCGTCATTCCACATTCTTCGTCCCCTTCCTCTGTTTCCGGCGCAAAGGATCTTCGGCGATCTTTTCCCCTTGCTGTTTATCCTGCCTCTCTTGTATACATCTATCTCCCTAGTAGGGGCTTTGTTTGTTTTCCATAAACATACTCTGCATATCCGTATATACCTACCTATACCCGTATACACCTCTCACCTCTTTCATCCTCTCTTGTTTGCTTGCAGTCCTTGAATACCTATTCTGGTGTATTAGGGCACGTTCGCTGACCAACAAACATTCCCATTGCTGCGCATCACATCTGATCCACCCGCTGTCTCTCGCGGGGGTCCATTGATTATCAATACCATCGCTTCTCTTCGTTCTTCTTGACATACAGTATACCAGCATGGCATCCGAAAAGCCAGAGGACGGCCACCAGCCCGAGAAGGAAGGTCCCACGATCACCGCAGACCCCGAAGCCGGCCGTCATAGCACCATCGCCGGTAAGCCGTGGATGTACAAGCCGTTGAAAATTGGCCCCTTGACCTTGCCATGGTTTGCTTCGCCCGAGGTCCAGTTGATCCTGGTTTCGTTTGTTTGCTTCCTATGCCCCGGTATGTTCAATGCGGTCAGTGGTCTCGGAGGTGGTGGACAGGTCGATCCAACGGACACCAACAATGCCAACACGGCCCTGTACAGTACCTTCGCTGTTGTCGGCTTCTTTGCAGGTTCCATTGCGAACCGAATTGGTCTTCAACTGACCCTCTCTTTTGGTGGTTTTGGCTATTTCCTCTATGTGGCATCACTTCTCTCCTACAACCACAACAAAAACGCCGGCTTCCTCATTTTCGCTGGTGCCCTGCTGGGTGTTTGTGCCGGTCTGTTGTGGTGCGCGCAGGGCGCAGTCATGATGAGCTATCCGCGTGAGAACGAGAAGGGAAAGTTCATCGCAATCTTCTGGGTCATCTTCAACCTTGGTGGAGTGATTGGAAGTTTGGTACGTATCGTCATTAGGCTTGTCTC